GTTAAAAGAGTCAGTTTTATTTTGGGGTCTTTAGTAAGAAATTTTAGGGACATTCGACGGGATTTACATATGTAAATGCCGTTACCTGATTTACATATGTAAATACGGGATTTACATGGTTACGGGATTTACATACAACATATACAATTGATATTTTATTGATAAAATCCATGACTGCAGCTTTTTACATTTATATCAACGCAACATCTTCACGAGACAAGTAAGTTTTGGGCTGAGTGACTGGTTTCTGAACTGAGACAGGTCCTGAACTCAGATATAGTAGTAATGCGTGTGACTGGGAAACACTGTCGAAGTAGTAGTCCAAAAGTTTGTATATTATGGTTAGTGAGTAATTTATTATGTGAGAAACATTTTATATTAGTTATGTTAATGACAGCCTTTTAGCTTACAAAAAATGTTAACAAAAGCAGAATTTGATATACAGTCAACTGCCAATCATTCGATCCGAAGTTATCAGTCGAATTAACTTGAGGAAACCAACTATGATAAAAAAGATCGGGTTTTGCCAAGTGATCGAATTATAGGCGAGATCGAATTATCATGCGGTCGAATTATCAATTATTCTGATCCATGGTTAGTTTTTTTAAACAGCAACCGCTTTGTCAGGTGATTAACCGATTTATTTCTCAAAGATCCTGACAATGAGAAAAAAAGCAAGTTACGTGTAATTGACTCAGAGCGTGCCAAATGCAGTTATAAATATAACTGTGGGTATAAGTTTATAGATTGTTGGTTAGCAAGACGATAGAAATGTACATAAGCGTGTGGAGCTTCGCCAGTAGTGTCACCTTCAGCAATGGCAAGACTTGATTACTTGTAACTTTTATCGCTATTGTCTTAGTTGCTATCATATAGTTCAGCGTTTCAGTTTAGAAATAATGACCATGCTGTATTATTTTCTGGCCATTACTATGCAAATTTTATAATAATTAAGCAGTATTGATTAATTCTGAAAACTTTACATACGCCACATCTTTCTTTGTCATATATTGTTACGTCGGATAAAATAAAAATCACATAGTTTCATGATAGTAAAATCGCGTCACAAATGAGTCAACTATGAAAGAGAAGAATATTTAAAAGGAGTAAAAAGTATATATTTATTCTTATAAATTTATATCCATGTATTAATCACATTTCAGTCTTGAGCAAGTACAAATTAAGAACAAATAAATGTCCTTTTGCTCTACAATAATCCATGTATGCTTACAGTGAACAACAAATAATATTATGACTTCATTATTCTCTTGACTATTCAGCCATTCTTGGAGTAAATTTTAACCATATACCATTTACTGCTCGGTTAGAGAATGTAGCTTCTTTCCATATAATTTCATCAATCTTATGAACTGCATCTATATCAAATCTCCTAACCAACAGAGCTGTTATTAACGTAAGTGTATTGAGTGCATATCTTTGCCCAATACATGATCGAAACCCAAATCCAAATGGAACATATGCCATTTTTGATATTTTTGAAGATTCTTCCAGGTTTTCTTTATCAAAGCCCATAAACCGTTCGGGATCAAACTTGTCGGGATTTTCCCAATGGTTGGGATTTTTGTGAAGCAAACG